CTCTCTGTGTTTCTCTCTGTGTCTCTCTGTGTTCTCTCTGTGTTTCTCTCTGTGTTTCTTTCTTTCTCTTTCCATTCAGTTTCGTTTCATTCTTGAGGCTAGCTGATGCTAGCTGCGTTAACATAATGAGACAAACCTCGGACAGAACCCGGTCCGGTTCGGCCTGACCTGGGACAGAACAGCGCCTCTGGACCGGACCTGTCCCGGTGCTGATCCGGGTAAAGAGCCGCGTGTGAGCCGCGGAGCCGCGGGGCTCCGGGGCCTTTGTCCGGGAGTGACTTGCACAAAATCCCCGGCGGAGGCTAAACTGTCCTGCCCGATCCGTCCTGCCCGATCTGCGTCAGCGCCGAACTGCGCCACAACAGCTTTATTTAATGTCGAACCGGACCGTCCCGGGACCATCCGGGACAGAGGACACTTTACACTGTCCACAATGAGACAAACCCCCGGTACTGACAGGTTCGAGTCCCGGAGCCAAACCTGGTACCGGTGAACGGAGCTAACCGGCGCTAAAGTGCCGCTAGCCCCGGAGCTAACCGGAGCTTGACCCGCGGACCCCGGGGCTCAGGACCCCTCCCCCCCGCGGTACCTGCAGGTTCCAGCCCGCGGACTCCAGAAAGAACCGGGCCCGGTCCTCGTCCACGTCCGTGACCGCCCTGAACTCCCGAACCGACTCCTCCGAACCCGACATGTCTGTGTGCTCCTGCGGTTGCTGTCCGGAAAGCGCAGGAAACAAGGGCGAGGAGAGGAAGGTTCCGCCCCCCCGTGTTTCTGCTGTTCTATAAAAATATAATGATCAATTTATGAATTTATGAATATTACTACATTATGAATATTTGTTATTATAAAGTTATAAACACGTGATATGAACCTATAGAAAGGTCACGTACAGGGCGCACACGCGTTTCACTTCTGTTTTTAGGGGCTCCTGCTTAATATAATATTAATATAATATTAATATAATATTAATATAATATACAGATTTTATATAATACTTAATGTAATATTTAATATAATATATAATATAATACACAGATTTAATACAATATTTAATATAATATACAGATGATAGATGTGCTCTGCTGATCAGAAAAGAGCACAGATTTACACACAGTTTCTTCTTTATGTTTATGATGATACAAATATGATTATTTTATTATTTTATTATTTGGTAGTTTTGAGTTTTGAGTCCGTGGGTTTGAGGCCACAATTTCCACCATGAAAGGAAATAAGGACAGATAATAAAAAATAAAAAAAATTGTGTTTATTATTATGATCTGTGTGTTTATTTTTTGTTTGTTTGTTTGTTTGTTTGTCTGTTTATTTGTTTGTCTGTTTGTGGACGTACAGTCCTCCGGTCTGTGGACACTAGGGGGCAGTACACGCGCGTGTGAAGAGGAAAACATTCATGGATGAAAATAAAAAGACTGAATAATAATAATAATAATAATAATAATAATAATAATAATGGTGCAGTTTAAAACAGGTTCTTCCATAGTAAAAGTCTTTTATTATAAACAGATTTTTATTTCAGATTTCAATTTAAACTCTTTCTGTAACTTTGTCAAATGTGACAGTTTTTCTTTTTCTTTTTCTTTCAAATGTATTATTTATTGAAAAAGCAGATTACATATTTCAAAGTGCAGAAAGAACTCAAAAGTTCCTGCTTTTTTTTGCTTTTGCTTTTGCTTTTACTGACCCTGACCCTGACCCTGACCCTGACCCTGACCCTGACCCTGAACCTGACCCTGACCCTGACCCTGACCCTGACCCGGGGCAAATGAAGCAGGACGTGTGTGTTGGACTTTCACATTTTAGGGCCGTGCACTGTACTTTACATTTTTCATGAGTGTGTAGAGTTCTGGACCACAGGGTTCAGTCCTGGTTTAGTCCTGGTTTAGTCCTGGTTCAGTCCTGGTTTAGTCCTGGTTTAGTCCTGGTTCAGTCCTGGTTTAGTCCTGGTTTAGTCCTGGTTCAGTCCTGGTTTAGTCCTGGTTTAGTCCTGTTTAGTCCTGGTTCAGTCCTGGTTTAGTCCTGGTTTAGTCCTGGTTTAGTCCTGGTTCAGTCCTGGTTTAGTCCTGGTTCAGTCCTGGTTAGTCCTGGTTTAGTCCTGGTTCAGTCCTGGTTCAGTCCTGGTTTAGTCCTGGTTTAGTTCTGGTTTAGTCCTGGTTTAGTCCTGGTTTAGTCCTGGTTTAGTTCTGGTTTAGTCCTGGTTTAGTCCTGGTTTAGTTCTGGTTTAGTCCTGGTTTAGTCTGGTTTAGTCCTGGTTTAGTTCTGGTTTAGTCCTGGTTTAGTCCTGGTTTAGTCCTGGTTTAGTTCTGGTTTAGTCCTGGTTTAGTTCTGGTTTAGTCTGGTTTAGTCCTGGTTCTGGTTTAGTCCTGGTTTAGTCCTGGTTTAGTTCCTGGTTTAGTCCTGGTTTAGTCCTGGTTTAGTTCTGGTTTAGTCCTGGTTTAGTCCTGGTTTAGTTCTGGTTTAGTTCTGGTTTAGTTCTGGTTTAGTCCTGGTTTAGTTCTGGTTTAGTTCTGGTTTAGTTCTGGTTTAGTCCTGGTTTAGTTCTGGTTTTAGTTCTGGTTTATTCTGGTTTAGTCCTGGTTTAGTTCTGGTTTAGTTCTGGTTTAGTCCTGGTTTAGTTCTGGTTTAGTTCTGGTTTAGTTCTGGTTTAGTCCTGGTTTAGTTCTGGTTTAGTTCTGGTTTAGTTCTGGTTTAGTCCTGGTTTAGTTCTGGTTTAGTCCTGGTTTAGTTCTGGTTTAGTCCTGGTTTAGTTCTGGTTTAGTTCTGGTTTAGTTCTGGTTTAGTCCTGGTTTAGTTCTGGTTTAGTCCTGGTTTAGTCCTGGTTTAGTTCTGGTTTAGTTCTGGTTTAGTCCTGGTTTAGTTCTGGTTTAGTCTGGTTTAGTCCTGGTTTAGTTCTGGTTTAGTTTCTGTTTAGTTTTAGTCCTGGTTTAGTCCTGGTTTAGTTCTGGTTTAGTCCTGGTTTAGTCCTGGTTTAGTCCTGGTTTAGTCCTGGTTTAGTCCTGGTTTAGTCTGGTTTAGTCCTGGTTTAGTCTGGTTTAGTTCTGGTTTAGTTCTGGTTTAGTTCTGGTTTAGTCCTGGTTTAGTCTGGTTTAGTTCTGGTTTTAGTTCTGGTTTAGTTCCTGGTTTAGTTCTGGTTTAGTCCTGGTTTAGTCCTGGTTTAGTTCTGGTTTAGTTCTGGTTTAGTTCTGGTTTACTTCTGGTTTAGTCCTGGTTTAGTTCTGGTTTAGTTCTGGTTTACTTCTGGTTTAGTCCTGGTTTAGTCCTGGTTTAGTTCTGGTTTAGTCCTGGTTTTGGTCTGGTTTAGTTCTGGTTTAGTCCTGGTTTAGTCTGGTTTTAGTTCTGGTTTAGTTCTGGTTTAGTCCTGGTTTAGTTCTGGTTTAGTTCTGGTTTACTTCTGGTTTAGTCCTGGTTTAGTTCTGGTTTAGTTCTGGTTTAGTCCTGGTTTAGTCCTGGTTTAGTCCTGGTTTAGTCCTGGTTTAGTCCTGGTTTAGTCCTGGTTTAGTCCTGGTTTAGTCCTGGTTTAGTCCTGGTTTAGTCCTGGTTTAGTTCTGGTTTAGTCCTGGTTTAGTCCTGGTTTAGTCTGGTTTAGTCCTGGTTTAGTCCTGGTTTAGTCCTGGTTTAGTTCTGGTTTAGTCCTGGTTTAGTCCTGGTTTAGTCCTGGTTTAGTTCCTGGTTTAGTTCTGGTTTAGTCCTGGTTTAGTCCTGGTTTAGTTCTGGTTTAGTCCTGGTTTAGTCCTGGTTTAGTCCTGGTTTAGTCCTGGTTTAGTTCTGGTTTAGTCCTGGTTTAGTCCTGGTTTAGTTCTGGTTTTCTGGTTTAGTCCTGGTTTAGTTCTGGTTTAGTTCTGGTTTAGTTCTGGTTTAGTCCTGGTTTAGTTCTGGTTTAGTTCTGGTTTAGTCCTGGTTTAGTTCTGGTTTAGTCCTGGTTTTAGTCCTGGTTTAGTTCTGGTTTAATCCTGGTTTAGTCCTGGTTTAGTTCTGGTTTAGTTCTGGTTTAGTTCTGGTTTAGTCTGGTTTAGTCCTGGTTTAGTCCTGGTTTAGTCTGGTTTAGTCTGGTTTAGTCCTGGTTTAGTTCTGGTTTAGTCCTGGTTTAGTCCTGGTTTAGTTTAGTCCTGGTTTAGTCCTGGTTTAGTTCTGGTTTAGTCCTGGTTTAGTTCTGGTTTAGTCCTGGTTTAGTCCTGGTTTAGTTCTGGTTTACTTCTGGTTTAGTCCTGGTTTAGTCCTGGTTTAGTCCTGGTTTAGTTCTGGTTTAGTCCTGGTTTAGTCCTGGTTTAGTTCTGGTTTAGTCCTGGTTTAGTTCTGGTTTAGTTCTGGTTTAGTTCTGGTTTAGTCCTGGTTTAGTCTGGTTTAGTTCTGGTTTAGTCCTGGTTTTCCTGGTTTAGTTTAGTCTAGTCTGGTTTAGTCCTGGTTTAGTCTTGGTTTAGTCCTGGTTTAGTCTTGGTTTAGTCCTGGTTTAGTCCTGGTTTAGTCCTGGTTTAGTCCTGGTTTAGTTTTTTCTGGTTTAGTCCTGGTTTAGTCCTGGTTTAGTTCCTGGTTTAGTCCTGGTTTAGTTCTGGTTTAGTCTGGTTTAGTTCTGGTTTAGTCCTGGTTTAGTCTTGGTTTAGTCCTGGTTTAGTCTTGGTTTAGTCCTGGTTTAGTCCTTGGTTTAGTCCTGGTTTAGTCCTGGTTTAGTCCTGGTTTAGTTCCTGGTTTAGTCCTGGTTTAGTCCTGGTTTAGTCCTGGTTTAGTCCTGGTTTAGTCCTGGTTTAGTCCTGGTTTAGTTCTGGTTTAGTCTTGGTTTAGTTCTGGTTTAGTCTTGGTTTAGTCCTGGTTTAGTCCTGGTTTAGTTCTGGTTTAAGTCCTGGTTTAGTCCTGGTTTAGTCCTGGTTTAGTTCTGGTTTAGTCCTGGTTTAGTCCTGGTTTAGTCCTGGTTTAGTCCTGGTTTAGTCCTGGTTTAGTCCTGGTTTAGTTCTGGTTTAGTCTGGTTTAGTTCTGGTTTTAGTCTGGTTTAGTCCTGGTTTAGTCCTGGTTTAGTTCTGGTTTAATCCTGGTTTAGTCCTGGTTTAGTCCTGGTTTAGTCCTGGTTTAGTTCTGGTTTAGTCCTGGTTTAGTCCTGGTTTTAGTCCTGGTTTAGTCCTGGTTTAGTCCTGGTTTAGTTCTGGTTTAGTCTGGTTTAGTCTGGTTTAGTCCTGGTTTAGTCCTGGTTTAGTTCTGGTTTAATCCTGGTTTAGTCCTGGTTTAGTCCTGGTTTAGTCCTGGTTTAGTCATTTCCTGTCGTTTGTTGTTGTGTAATAAACGTGTTTTTACAGAGACTCTGAGTCACAGTGTGTGAAGAAACATGGAGAAGATTCCACTGACGACACTGACGACACCTACACCCGTCCAACTGGGTCCAACTGGGTTAGTCTGGGTTAGTCTGGGTCAGACTGGGTCAGACTGGGTCAGTCTGGGTTAGTCTGGGTTAGACTGGGTTAGACTGGGTTAGACTGGGTTAGTCTGGGTTAGTCTGGGTTAGTCTGGGTTAGACTGGGTTAGTCTGGGTTAGTCTGGGTTAGTCTGGGTTAGACTGGGTTAGACTGGGTCAGTCTGGGTTAGACTGGGTTAGTCTGGGTTAGTCTGGGTTAGTCTGGGTTAGTCTGGGTTAGACTGGGTTAGACTGGGTTAGTCTGGGTTAGACTGGGTTAGACTGGGTTAGTCTGGGTTAGTCTGGGTTAGTCTGGGTTAGTCTGGGTTAGTCTGGGTTAGTCTGGGTCAGAGTCAGAGGGAGGTTCTTGATGTCAGATGTTTCGTGTTCCTCTCACTGAGTCTGTGGAAAAGTCTGGATCTTCAGTCATTTGTTTTAGATTCATATTTTAGAATCACACAGACTCGACTCGTTTCTCTTCACGAGTTTTGTGGAGTTTTGTTCAAGTCGCAAAACAAACACAAAACAAACACAAAACAAACACAAAACAACACAAAACAACACACAAAACAAACACAAAAGAAACACAAAACAAACACAAAACAAACACAAAAGAAACACAAAACAAAACAAACACAAAACAAACACAAAACAAACACAAAAGAAACAAAACAAAACAAACAAACAAAACAAACACATAAACAAACACAAAACAAACACAAAAGAAAACACAAAACAAACACAAAACAAACACAAAACAAACACAAAACAAACACAAACACAAAACAAACACAAAAGAAACACAAAACAAACACAAAACAAACACAAAAGAAACACAAAAAAACACAAAACAAACACAAAACAAACACAAAACAAACACAAACACAAAACAAACACAAAACAACACAAAACAACACAAAACAAACACAAAAAAACACAAAAGAAACACAAAACAAACACAAAACAAACACATAAACAAACACAAAACAAACACAAAACAACACAAAACAAACACAAAACAAACACAAAACAAACACAAAACAAACACATAAACAAACACAAAACAAACACAAAACAAACACAAAAGAAACACAAAACAACACAAAAGAAACACAAAAGAAACACAAAAGAAACACAAAACAACACAAAAGAAACACAAAACAAACACAAAACAAAACAACACAAAACAAACACAAAAACAACACAAAACAAACACAAACAAAACAAACACAAAACAAACACAAAACAAACACAAAACAAACACAAAACAAACACAAAACAAACACAAAACAAACACAAAAGAAACACAAAACAACACAAAAGAAACACAAAAGAAACACAAAAGAAACACAAAACAACACAAAAGAAACACAAAACAAACACAAAACAAACACAAAACAACACAAAACAACACAAAACAAACACAAAACAAACACAAAACAACACAAAACAAACACAAAACAAACACAAAACAAACACAAAACAACACAAAACAAACACAAAAGAAACACAAAACAACACAAAAGAAACACAAAAGAAACACAAAAGAACACAAAACAAAACAAAACACACAAAACAAAACAACACAAAACAAACACAAAAAAACACAAAACAACACAAAACAAACACAAAACAACACAAAACAACACAAAACAAACACAAAACAAACACAAAACAAACACAAAAACAAAACAACACAAAACAACACAAAACAACCACAAAACAAACACAAAACAAACACAAAAAAAACACAAAACAAACACAAAACAACACAAAACAACACAAAACAAACACAAAAGAAACACAAAACAAACACAAACAAAACAAACACAAAACAAACACAAAAGAAACACAAAAGAAACACAAAACAAACACAAAACAAACACAAAACAACACAAAACAAACACAAAAGAAACACAAAACAACACAAAACAAACACAAAACAAACAAACACAAAACAAACACAAAACAACACAAAACAAACACAAAAGAAACACAAAACAAACACAAAACAAACACAAAAAACAAAACAAACACAAAACAAACACAAAACAAACACAAAACAAACACAAAACAAACACAAAACAAAACATAAACAAAACAAAACAACAAAACAAACACAAAACAACACAAAACAAACACAAAAAACAAACACAAAAACAAAACAAACACAAAACAAACACAAAACAAACACAAAAGAAACACAAAACAAAACAAACACAAAACAAACACAAAACAAACACAAAACAACACAAAACAAACAAACACAAAAGAAACACAAAACAAACACAAAACAACACAAAACAAACACAAAAGAAACACAAAACAAACACAAAACAAACAAAACACAAAACAAACACAGAACAAACACAAAACAAACACAAAACAAACACAAACACAAAACAAACACAAAACAAACACAAAACAAACACAAAACAACACAAAACAAACACAAAACAAATACATAAACAAACACAAATGTTTGGTTTAATTTTCTGCTGTTTTGATTCAGTTTCACATTTTGACTCGTCGAACCAAAATAAAAAACTGTTCACGTCTGAAGAACCAGAATCAAACAAACTGAACTTTACAACAGAAACGAAACACAAACGACTGACACAGTTTGAGTTTGACGAGCGACTTCACTCAGGAACATTTCACTTTGTTTTCACTTTGTTTTCACTTTGTTTTCAGTTTTTTCAGGGTAAATTCAGGTTTGTGTGTTTTTGTGCAGAATAAAAGAGGAGACGAGTTTTGTTCTGGAAAAACAAATAGTTTAATAAAATAAACGTCATTTACATTTACAAAAGTCATTTACATTTAAATCTGTTTGAAACATTTAAATCACTTTTAAATCCGTCTGGAGCCTCGTGCTGCAGGAACTCGGGGTTTTACAGTGTAAAGGTCAAAGGTCAGAGGTCAGATTTATAAAAATATGAACTTTCTGACACAGCCACAGGTCAAAGGGTCACGGGGTCAAAGGGCAGAGTCCAAATCTAAACAGAAAAGTTCCAGAGTGTCTTTACGTCCACAGACACAGATCCTGTTTGAGCTTCAGTCCTGAGTTTGATTTTTTTCTTCTTCATTTTGTGCAAAACAAAATTTCATTTATTTATTATTTTATATCATTTTTTAAAAACATCAGAGTTAAAAAAAAATCAAATTCAGATTCAGACGGAATCTGATGCACCTGATGCCCTCCCACCACAGCCCCGCACGGGGTGAAAGGTCACGCAGCATTCGGGAGGTGGCGTCGGTGGCGTCGGTCGTCGGTGGCGTCGGTGGCGTCGGTGGCGTCGGTGGCGTCGGTGGCGTCGGTCGTCGGTGGCGTCGGTCAGGAGGCGGCGGCGTTTTCCCGCGCCCGCCTGATGCCGTAGAGCCACTTGATGACCCTGGCGTTCCTCTCGACCACAGAGATCCCGTACGGCGTGCGCTCTTTAGGCTCCTCCCCCTCGCCGTCCTCTCTCTCCTCGTACTCGGAGCTGGGCGTGCTGACGCTGTGGAGCTTCGGGACGATGTCAGAGTTGGCCCGGGTGAAGCGCTCCACGCCGCCCGCCTCCAGCTCGCCCGGGCACAGCTCGCCCGGGTCCAGGCCGCAGTAGTTGAAGAAGCGCTCGCGGTCGGCCGAGGCGCGAGAGAAACGGTCGCTCAGGTCTGACTTGGAGCGGTGGAGGGCGGGGCGTTTGTGGGCGGAGCCTCTGGAGCTGGCGCTGAGGCGGGTGAAGGCGGGCGAGGCGGGGGGGGCGCCCGTGCGGCACAGCAGGGGGCTCTGGGGCGGGAAGGCGGGTGCGGACAATAAGGAGGGGGGCGTGGCCTGGGTGTTTGTGTCTGTGGGCGGGGTCAGGGGCGGGGCCTGTCCCTTCACTGTCTGACGGAGGTGTTGCGGGTGCAGGGGGAGGAGGGGCCTCCTCTGGGGGCGTCGGCCTTCAGCCTGAGGACGAACGTCAACGCGCCGCACGGACGCCGGGCACAGGGGGGCGGGGCACAGAGGGGCGGGGCACAGAGGGGCGGGGCACAGGGGGGCGGGGACTCGGGCGCGGCGGGCGGGGACGGGAGGGGGCCGAGCGGGGAGAGGGGGGGGCAGGCGCTGCGCTGTGATTGGGCAGGAGGAGGCGAGGGGGGCGGGGTCGGGTTTGGGTTGGACTTTGGTTCTGGGTCGGTTCTCGACACTGCTCCCCGCGCTCTGGGCCGAGGACGAGGACAGAGGAGACGAGGGCGACGAAGACGAGGAGGACGAAGAGGCTGCGGCGCCGTCACAAACGTTGATGAGGTCACTGAGAACGTCCAGGTCCAGACGAGGAACCCTCTGACCAGAAGAACCTGAAGAACCTGAAGAACCTGAAGAACCAACAGAACCAGAGTCAGACTGAAGCCGAGAAAACAAACTCAAACTGATTTATTCTTTTTATTCTTTTAAATGTTCCTGATGTTGATGCTAAAATCTGAGAACTGAACAAAACAGAAAAACTAAACCGGGGGGGAGGGGCAAACTTTCTGGCTCGGGGGCCACATAAGGTTCTCACATTTGCCTGAAGGGGACAGGAGACAGAACATGACGTGTTCAGAGCCCGGTTCTGTTGTGTAGGACGTGTTCTGCACTACGCGCTGTAGTGTTTCAGAACCAATGAAAGTGAATGAGGTTTGCTCCTCCACACACCTCAGGCGAGTGTGAGTCCAATGTGCTTAGAACTCAATGAACAACAGAACCCACATCATGAAGATACACATGGAAACACTTCAGTGTGAGTAAAACCAGATCCTTGAGACATTCTGTTCATTCACATTTGTCCCACAGAGTCAAAGAGTCTTTAAACTCTTTCAAAGCTCTAAAAACAGAAGCAGTGTTATGTCTTGAACACTTCTACTTCACTCATGGTCTGAACACTTTCCCATAAAGCATTGCAGCCAACACAATACACCGCACCTCAATGTATATATAGTGTCGCCATCTACTGGGAAACGCCGGAAATGCAGGAAAAATAAAACATCAAGGTTTATTATTGTCATTTATTCCAGTTCGGCGGCCGGATTAAAAGGTTTAAAGGGCCGCATACGGCCCCCAGGCCGTAGTTTGCCCACCCCTGAACTAAAACCACACGGAAACAAACCGTCGCCAACAAAAACACAGTAGACAGAACCAAACAGAACCACACAGAACCACACAGAACCAACAGAACCAAACAGAACCACATAGAACCACACAGAACCAACAGAACCAAACAGAACCACACAGAACCACACAGAACCAACAGAACCAAACAGAACCACACAGAACCACACAGAACCAACAGAACCAAACAGAACCACACAGAACCAACAGAACCAAACAGAACCACAGAACCAAACAGAACCAAACAGAACCAACACAGAACCAAACAGAACCAAACAGAACCAAACAGAACCAAACAGAACCAAACAGAACCAAACAGAACCAACAGAACCAAACAGAACCACACAGAACCAAACAGAACCACACAGAACCAACAGAACCAAACAGAACCAAACAGAACCACAGAACCAAACAGAACCAACAGAACCAACAGAACCAAACAGAACCAAACAGAACCACACAGAACCACACAGAACCAAACAGAACCACACAGAACCAAACAGAACCAAACAGAACCAAACAGAACCACACAGAACCAAACAGAACCAACAGAACCAAACAGAACCAACAGAACCAAACAGAGGCAGTGGTTCTAAACCCTGAACTCTGAACCCGTCCTCACCTTTGGGTCCCTGTCGGTGGGCGCAGGCTTCACGGGGCCCCGGGGCGGAGGAGACAGGTGAGGGGCAGAGGGGGGCGGGGCAGAGCGGGGAGGGCATCAGGGCCTTTCGGATGATTGGCGCCTGTCTGTTGAGCGCCACCTGTCGGCTCTTGACGTACTTGGCCTTGTCGGCCTCCAGTCGCTCCACGGCGCTCAGTTTACGAGTCGGGTTCGTGCTCTGGTGTCTGAAATAGTCGGGGCCTTTGTGCAGGATCCTGAAGGGCGCCCCTGCCAGGCACCTGTCGGCAGGACGCAGAGTCTCCACCGGCATTTTGCACCTGCCACAAAACACCAGAGAACAGAGTTTAGAGAACACAGTTTACAGAAAACAGAGTTTAGAGAACACAGTTTAGAGAAAACAGAGTTCAGAGAACAGAGTTTAGAGAAAACAGAGTTTAGAGAACAGAGTTTAGAGAAAACAGAGTTTAGAGAACAGAGTTTAGAGAAAACAGAGTTTACAGAAAACAGAGTTTAGAGAAAACAGAGTTTAGAGAACAGAGTTTAGAGAAAACAGAGTTTACAGAAAACAGAGTTTAGAGAACAGAGTTTAGAGAACAGAGTTTAGAGAACAGAGTTTAGAGAACACAGTTTAGAGAACAGAGTTTAGAGAGAACAGAGTTTAGAGAAAAAAGAGTTTAGAGAACAGAGTTTAGAGAAAACAGAGTTTAGAGAACACAGTTTACAGAAAACAGAGTTTAGAGAACACAGTTTACAGAAAACAGAGTTTAGAGAACACAGTTTACAGAAAACAGAGTTTAGAGAACAGAGTTTAGAGAGAACAGAGTTTAGAGAAAAAAGAGTTTAGAGAACAGAGTTTAGAGAAAACAGAGTTTAGAGAACAGAGTTTAGAGAAAACAGAGTTTACAGAAAACAGAGTTTAGAGAACACAGTTTAGAGAAAACAGAGTTCAGAGAACAGAGTTTAGAGAAAACAGAGTTTAGAGAACAGAGTTTAGAGAAAACAGAGTTTACAGAAAACAGAGTTTAGAGAAAACAGAGTTTAGAGAACAGAGTTTAGAGAAAACAGAGTTTACAGAAAACAGAGTTTAGAGAACAGAGTTTAGAGAACAGAGTTTAGAGAACAGAGTTTAGAGAACACAGTTTAGAGAACAGAGTTTAGAGAGAACAGAGTTTAGAGAAAAAAGAGTTTAGAGAACAGAGTTTAGAGAAAACAGAGTTTAGAGAACACAGTTTACAGAAAACAGAGTTTAGAGAACACAGTTTACAGAAAACAGAGTTTAGAGAACACAGTTTACAGAAAACAGAGTTTAGAGAACAGAGTTTAGAGAGAACAGAGTTTAGAGAAAAAAGAGTTTAGAGAACAGAGTTTAGAGAAAA